AGAACCGCTTCTCAATATTATTAACTCGTCGTTGTCTTTAGGTCACGTCCCAAAACCATTCAAACTGGCGGTTATTAAGCCTCTTATATAAGTAGGCAGCAGATGCAGCGCATATTCAGGTTTTCGCTGAGGAGCCGAGCCGGTGACCCGGCCGCTCAGCGTTGGTACAGAAGCTGTGGCGACAGGACGTGACGTCTACGTTTCCTCCTTCAGGGAACGAGGGTTACATACGTAACCGAGACGTTCCCTTTCAGTCGGTCACTCTCGACGTCACGTCGGATGACCGACGAATTGGGATCCCTAACAAAGGGCCACAGATACTGCCCCTTCCAGTGTCCTGTGGAAGCCTCCTGTGCCCCTTCTTTTTGGCGTAGGCCGGGGCTTACCACAAGAAGACCAGTTACTGCTGCTATGGCACTACCCACTCAGTAAGACTGGATAACACTGGGAAAATGTACCCATACCACTTGGGACAGGAATGTTGCGGAAGCCCCATCCTTCCCGAAATTTGCTAAGAAATGGCAGAAGTCTGCCGAGGAAACACGGGCTCTGAGGCTATACCGTGGATTTTACACATATGGGATCCACTTACGTCTCTACATATGGAATCCAGCCCTCTACCGGTTCTCAAGGATTCATCGAGTGAGGCCTGGCACCGGACTCTCCGCCATGTCTGGCTACCGAGGGGATGGAGGAGCTTGACAGGGTCTAAGATATGGACTTTCTGGAGCAGTCTTAGCAAGCCAACCCGAAGCCGGGGCCTCTCAGTGCTTCTACCCGTTTGAGGTGAGAACACAGGAGGATACCAGCTCCACAGGAAGGCTATAGAATCTAGCGAACCTGTTGGGGGTTGCCCAGTCCACAGCTCTACAAATATCTGTCAGCGAGGCGCCACAAGCCAGCGCCCAGGAGGATGCAACACTTCTAGTAGAGTGAGCTCGCAACCTGAACGGGCAGGGCACACCCTGTGCCTGATAAGCCAGGGTGATGGCATCCACTATCCAGTGGGCCATCCTCTGCTTAGAGATGGAATTCCCCTTCTGCCGGCCTCTGTGACAGACAAAGAGCTGGTCTGAGGTCCTGAAGCTTTGTGTCCTGTCTACGTAGCATCTCAATGCTTGGACGGGACAAAGCAAAGCTAGGGCTGCGTCTGCCTCCTCCGGGGGCAGTGCTTGCAGGCTCACCACCTGATCCCTGAAGGGAGTAGTGAGAAACTTGGGCACATAGCAGGGCCGGGGCCTCAGGATTACCTAGGAGTCAGCCAGCCCAAACTCTAGGCACGAATCGTCGACCGAAAATGCGTGCAGGTCCCCTATCCTCTTGATGGAGGCCAATGCAAGCAGGAGCAGAGTTTTCATTGACAGAAACTTCAGCTCGACTGTTTGCAAAGGCTCAAATGGCCCTGCTGTAGTGCTCTGAGCACTAGAGACAGGTCCCAAGAGGGTATAGAGGGGGACCGTGGAGGATTTAGCCTTCTCGCCCCCCTAAGGAACCTGATGATCAAGTCATGCTTCCTCACCGACTTCCCTTCCATGGGGTCATGGTTGGCAGCAATCGCAGCCACATAGACTTTAAGGGTGGAGGGAGACAGCCTTCGCTCCAACCCCTGCTTCAGAAAGAACAGCACAACTCTGATTGGACATTTCCGGGGGTCTTCTCAGTGAGAAGAACACCACTCGACAAACAGGTTCCACTTCAAGGCGTAAGCGTGTCTCGTAGACGGTGCTCTTGCCGAAGTGATGGTGTCAACTACCTCTTGTGGTAGGTCACATAGAACCTCCGCGTCTCGTCCAGGGACAAGACATGAAGTTTCCAGAGGTCTGGACGTGGGTGCCACAGAGGCGCCACGAGCAGGACCTGCTCCTCGTCCTCCCTGATCTTGCACAGTGTCTGTGCAAGAAGGCTCACTGCTGGGCGAAGTTCTCCACCGCATCGCCGAAGAGGCCGTTCTGGGACACGGGGGCATTTAAAAACCGAGTCTTGTCAGTCTCCCTCATGTCGGCCAGACACAGCCAGAGATGGCGTTCCTGGACAACCATAGTGGACATCGCACGGCCCAGAGACCGCACAATGAACTTCGTCGCTCGTAGCGTGAGGTCAGTAGCGGCGCGGAGTTCTTTGAGAACTTCTGGGTCATGCCTACCCTCGTGCAGGTCCTTCAGTGCCTTGGCCTGATGAACCTGCAACAACGCCATGGCGTGTAGGGCAGAGGCAGCTTCTCCGCAGGCCGCATAAGCACTGCCGGTCAGGGCCGACGAGTACCTACAGGCCCGGGAGGGGAGCAACGGCTTGCCCCGCCAGATGGCAGTGGAATTTGGACACAATTGCATCGCAACCGACCGCTCCACCGGCGGGATCTCCGTATACCCCCGCACTGGTGGCGAGGGAGGACGAGCCACTGGGGCAGTTTCTGGCAGTGAAAGGTGCCGTCCACAACCCAGTGAGCTCATCATGCACCTCCGGGAAGAAAGGCACTCGGGTGGGGCCCTGAGAACCAGCGCGAGCCACCCCGAGAAACCAATCGTCCAGCCTCGAGGGTTCGGGACGCGGTGGAGGTTTCCACTCGAGTCCAATCCTCTCGGCGGCCCGGACAAGCATAGCCACCATTTCCAGATCCGTATCCAGCATTGCTGGCTGCCAAGAGGGTGGCAGCACTGCCGGATCATCATCTCCAGAAAGGTCTGGCTGACCCTCCAATGCAGTGATCGACATCTGATCGTCGGTGGGAGCACCAAAGGATACAAGTGGTACCCCACGAGAGGGTCCAGCCTGTTCTTTCGGTGGCTCCACTGGCTGCAAAGTGCCGGTGGAAGGAGGAGCCCTCGGTTGGTTCCTCAGAGAGGAATTCCTCACCGTCACCGTAAGACCAGTCCGGCTACTGCCAGAAGTAGCGTCCCGTCAGCGGCCACCAGGGGGAGCCCTAGATCTAGGCAGAGGCACGGACACCCCGCCCCTTTGCAGGAAACGGAGCCTGGTCCGCTACTCCGCGACGGTCATTCTCCTGCAATAGGAACATGACTCATCCGCGAACGCCACCTCAGCGTGTTTAATGCCCAGACACGTGAGGCAGTGATCGTGACTATCACCTGGCGCCAGGTAACGACCGCATCCAGAAACGCACGGGTGGAAAGTCATCTTTAAAAAGATGTCCACCCGTGAATGCTCTTTTAGAGTTTGCTCTTTTAGAATTTGCTCTTTTAGTGTGCTGAAGTGTACAGGGGAGATGGCCGCCTGCAACACAAACGGGGGATAGTGCAGCCTGATGTGTGCAACCCACTCGACACGGGAAGAACCACCGCCGCTGAAGCGCTGTACCGCCAGCACCAGAGCTTCCTAGAGCGTGCTGAACTCATTGAGTTTCTCTGAAGCAGTAGTCAGGAGCAGAATGAAGCAATTGCTCGGCTCAGAAGCGAAAAGCTGAATATGTGCTGCACCAGCTGCCTACTTATACTCACGCTGTGATCAGCGGCAGCTGGATGCAATAATCGCATGCCAATGTACATTTGCTCGTTTAGTTACACTCGAAGTTGATTGGTCTCTCTAAGCGAGATCCCAATTCGTCATTCATTCGATGTGATGTCGAGAGTGACCGACTGAAAGGGAACCACTTCTCAATATTATTAACTCGTCGTTATCTTTAGGTCACGTCCCAAAACCATTCAAGCTGGCGGTTATTAAGCCTCTTATTAAGAAACCACAACTAGATCCCAGCGAACTGGCAAATTTCAGACCCATTTCAAATCTTCCATTTATGTCTACAATTTTTAGTTGCTCAATTGTGCTCCTTCCTGCAAAAATTGATCTCTATGAAGAATTTCAGTCCGGTTTCAGGCCCCACCATAGCACAGAAACTGCACTTGTTAAAATTACAAATGACTTGCTTCTCGCATCAGACCAAGGATGCATCTCATTGCTAGTTTTACTTGATCTTAGTGCTGTGTCCGACACTTTAGATCATGACATACTCATAGATCGATTACAAAACTATACAGGTATTCAAGGGCAGGCTTTAAGATGGTTTAGATCCTACCTGTCCGATCGCTACCACTTTGTTTATTTAAACGGGGAGTCATCTCAATTATCACCAGTAAAGTATGGAGTGCCACAAGGATCTGTCCTAGGTCCTCTGCTATTTTAAATATACATGTTGCCCCTTGGTAATATTATTAGAAAATACGGGATTAGTTTCCACTGTTATGCTGATGATACTCAACTATATTTCTTAACTAGACCAAATTATCTTCTAAATTATCTAAGCTAACAGAGTGTGTTAAAAATGTAAAAGATCGGATTACCCATAATTTTCTCCTATTAAATTCGCCTAAGACCGAATATTACTTATTGGACCAAAACAGTACACAGAATCTCTTGGATTACAATTTGCAACTAGACGGATGTACTGTTA